AAGACTCATAGTTGCAGGATTGTGTGTTAAATTTAAAAATAAATCTTTTACATCCTCTTCAACAAAGTTCTTATGAAAGGACTGCTGCTGGACTGTGTGCATCCCGGTGATTGGTCCAATCCATCAACCAATGGACTTTTCCATTCCTAGGCAGAGGAAATTCCTGCGCTTCTCATTCAGGGGAATCCATTTAACGTTACACATTTCCTGACGGCTGTTTCCAAACCTTTGAAACAGCCATCGATAAATGTGTGATTGGATTCCCCTGAATCTATTCATAGCAAATTTGCTGAAGAAGATAATAAAAACACACAAAAGAAGATCATTGAGAGCAGGAGTCAAACACACAATCCTTGGATTACAAGTCCTGTGCTCTACCAGCTGAGCTAGCCAGTGGCACTGATTAGTGATCTGAAATTATTGTAAAGAAAAGCACCTGCTGACCCCTGTATTCAGCTATGGTTTGTTATCTCGAGAAAATTAGCCCGTTATCGCGGGAAAATGGAGTAAAAAAAATTTGAATGGATGGTTGCTTAGGGCTTCTGTAAAAAAGCAAAAAGCATAGCATAATTATAACAAAATAAATATAGGAAGTTTTTCTGTAGAAACTGTGAAGTATCCATCCATCAGTATTTCTAAGTGGTGGACTGACATTTAGAGCCAAGCCACAAAGTGAGAGAGAGATGGTTCTGTACTGAGAAGGTTGAGAAGCAGTGTGTTAGTGGTTAGTTGTATGTATAGTCAGTTATCCCGTTGATGACACAAAATGCAAACACACAGTGCTGCAGTCAAGAATATATTAGTGAGGGAGAGGAAGAATGAACATGTATCTTTAAATTGAAAGGACACAAGGAAAGGTCCTCCACGTTTCTTTTGTCTTTTCTTTCATCTTGTAAGCTTTAAGTCTTGTGGAAATTCATTCGAACAGAACAAGCTGCAGGAACTACTTCATGGTTCTCTTGAGCCTTGAGTCACCTGCCAGAGATTAGCTGTCCGCCTGCTGTAATGAGCCTTTTAAAAGTTCAACTAAAGCTTCCGATGTTCTTAAAAGTTGAAGGGCTTAGATGTTTCAGATTCATGGATTTCAGGGCTCTCTGCCTAACTCTGTGGATTCAGAAAGTGGGAAACGGCAAGACAGAGCTGCCACTGAGAAAGGAACTTGATCAAAATAGTTCATTAGGCAGGAACAAACTGCAAGCTGTGTTCAAGATGCTCTTTTTTGCTACTTAGTTTACAGAATTATTTGCAATAATGACCACAGTCTATAGGTTGGAGACCGGCGAGATTCTTGGCTGCTAGAGACAGGTGTGCAGGAGGGCTGAGAATCTTGTGGTGGTTAAATAAAGATCCTGTCTGTCACACTTTCCTTGTTCCTGGTCCCTCTCCTGGCTTCTTGATGGCCTCTCTGAACAGCCACACGCAACACACACACACACCACACACACACATAAAACCAAGATTGCTCACCGTGTTTCTGCCCTATCTCCAACAGAACGGGCTCCCCCAGCTCAATGACGAAGGCCTTGTTCTTCTCATACTCTTCATCATCGATAATCTTTACCTCGATGATCTTCCTGTTAAAAAGTGAAGAGAAAGATGAGCTCAGCGAGTGCATTCATGATAATTAACCTTTTCAGTTGTATGCTCGCCCTCATAATAAGGAAGTGTTCATAGCGAGTGTGTTTGAACAGTCTATTAAAACTCAGAGTCTCACCCTGTCAGGCTGTAATCTGTCTGAAATGACCTGATGAGCAGGTCATTTCTGGGGCTCACACACAAAGCACAGCTGCATGGGTGCGGACTGCCTCATTAACCAAGACTATCCTATTAGCTAGCTTTAAGTAACAAATAGGATATACCACAAAAAAGAACATTTCATTTTTGTTTTCTCTTGCAGAAAATGACGAGGAGCCTCTGCAAAGATGAAGGTTGAAGCCTGGGTTGACGTTGCTCAGTGGGACACTAGATGAGACTGCTTATTTCCCCCCAGGCCCTCAAATTTTCTCAAACTGACAGCGATGCAATGCGCAGCACAGCCACAGTTGAGAAATTTTCCATTAGGAGCACCCAGAGAACACCCTAAAATGCAGCGCAAAGAGTTTCTGAGGGGATGCGTACTGCAACGAGACCTTAACAAGTAAATTGATTTTATTAAAGACGTGGGGATATTAAAAAATAACAATGTGTGCATGTGAGCTTAGTAGAGTGAGAAATAGGTGAGATGGCATTGTTATCAGATCGGTTAATGTATTTTGAGAGAGAGGAAGATGAAAGAATTTGCAAATAGTGGAAAGAAAGATGGATGGCACACCCTGTCAGTCCTATGCTTTAAGTAAACTCCCAAGTATATGCTACTGACTCAAAATGTAAAGTGAAAAACAGGCACACTTGACATGATTTAAGAAGCTTGTGTTGAGACTAACAGTAGTGGACAAGTGCTTTAAAGGAGACTTTATTGTTCTTCTGTGACTCCTGTATGGCAGCTTTGCATGATTCAAAGTAAAAAAAGAAATAATTTTCTATCTTATACTGCCTCTTCATGTAGGCCTTCATTTCAGCCTCTCTCTGAAACAAGCTGTGGATGCTCCTGTCTCTTTAAGACCCCCCCCCCCCCCCCCCCCCCCCAAAGCTGATCTTCTGATTGGCCAAGACCTAAAGCATGTTATCAAGCTGTTGTTGTTGCCAAGCGGGAAGCTTCCAGTCAGAGATGTGAATCCAATGTGGAAGTCCCTTTAACCTGCATTCTATCAAATGGCCAACAGGGGCCAAACTCGAGGCTTCAAAACGGCAGTCCACAAACCAACGGGTGACGTCACAATGACTATGTCCACTTCTTAGCTACAGTCTATGGTTGCTGCTGAGCGGTACAGACAGACTGAATGTAGCTGTGTGGCGCAAATGACCATATATGGAATAATAATAATAAGCTGTTGAAAACAGAATGTTCAGAACAGGTGGAAATCTGAGATTTCTTCTCACAGGGATTTCTTTTAAATACTTTAACCTTATTATTTGAAGATTTGGCCATGTTTAACATGAACATCCAACATTGTAATATTGTAGATAAGTCATAAAATATGGAAAAGCATAGTAGGTCTCCTTCATTTCCTTTCGTTGTCGCAGTGTGCAACCCTGTCACCTAGAAATAAAACAATAAAAACATATCTATGCTACTAATTTTCAACAATGAACAGGTACGAGGTAAACATAATACCAAACAAAGGCTTCTAATGAACACATCTGCCAAGTTCATCCAGAACAACATATGTAAAATGTTCACTTACAGCATATTTCATTTGTTTATCCTTCAATATGTGTTCTTGCAATTCAGTATCTTCTACAAACAAAGCATTATTGTCATTTTTCTTTATAGGTTAGGGAAAAATTATGTTAAGTAAAGAGTTGAAACACCAGACACAATGTGTTTACTTTGATAACATTTAACCAAAACCATGCTCTTTCTTTACCTAAACCAAAGTGCTTTTGTTGCCTAAACCCACCCACCCGCAGGATGTGAACCTTGGTCTTTGATGTCAAAGTCTTACCTCCCGTTGCCGCTAAACATAATTCAGGCAGCAATTTGTAATTAGTAATATGTAAACATAATATTGGAGGCAGTGTTGCATTGCAGAATCACTGCAGTGTAAGTGGTGTCGGTACATAACTTTGAACGGGTTTTGGCTGATAATGCCTGCACTATGAATAAAAACTAATCTAACATCCCAATTTAAAATGCTCAGGGCACAAAAGTGTATTACCGGTCTGTTTCACACAGAGTATATAATCTTCATCTCAACAGTCCATCTGTATCTGACTGGCAGAGAGGAAGCGAGAGTATTTTTCCACCTGGTTGTGTCATTGTGAGCGAGTGATGGAGGTGTGGAGAAGTGGAAGTGCATTGTTTTCATTGGTGAGCTGTCACGGCAACAGTGGATTAAACTGGCCAGATTTTCTTTCTCCAGCATCACATCAGGTTGAGTGGCCAACTCTCAACAATGTTGGAAAACATATGAAAGCATTGCTTTGTCAGCTGAAAAGCAAGACGAAAAAACACACAAACAAATACAAGCAAATCCATTCAGTGGAGAATAAGGGGGAAGGAAGATGAAGGTGAGAAATTAAAAATCTCTTATATTAGCTGATTTCCCTAACCATTTCCAGACATCTGCCTAATATCTCGAATAACAATTTATTTTAATACTGAGTTAAATAAAAATGAACCAAACATAAATGACAGTTTACAAAACCCCTTAGCCAAGGCAACGATTATCCAAAACTAATACTAAGCATTGCAAGTGAAATATTTGCCTCCGTAATCAGTTAAAATTAAAATATGCAACGTGCTAGAATGAAAAGATTGACAGGTGTAGCAACAGCAACTAAGGGGTGCAGGGCATAGCAAACTGTCAGTGAGATGGAAGACAGAGACAAGAGGATAGAAAGAGATAAGGAGAAATGAGAGAAATGGGGGAGGGAGGAAAGGGAGTTTAGAAAAATGGATGTACATAGAGGAGTAGGAGGTGAGTAAGGGAAGGAGTGAAGAAGGAGACACAGAGAGAGGTTGAAAGAGGAGTGCGAGTAATGCATGTACATTTTTTATACAGTCTATGGTTACAACTCAATACACACTCAGGGGGACTAGAGTACACACACACACACACACTTTATTTTTACAATTTCTGTTAAATATACAAACACAGACACTTCATATAATCTAAAACCATAATGAACATGGGCAGTGGATACTACACATAACATGATTTTCATGTTGCACATCACATGACGATGATGTTTGCACTTTGTTCCACACATTACATTTATTCATTTAGCTGACATTTAGCTTACCATAAGCGACTTACAACTGCTCTATATGTCAGAGGTAGCATGCCTCTGGAGCAACGAGGGGACCTATTATACTTTTTCATATTTTGTAGCATTTCTACAACGTTACAGTGTCAGATCATATTCAGTTCATATTAAACATGGCCAAAGTTTCAAATGATGAGGTAAAAGTATTAAAAAGAAATCCCTGTGAGCCAAAACCTCAGATATCCCCCTGATCCGAATGCTCTGTTTTGAACTGTTTTTTCTGCTAATGGCTCGGTATGATGTCATTCCGAGCCGGATTTCCAAATATGGTCATTTGCACCAGACAGAGAATGCTGGCCATGCCCACAAAAGAACATGCAGACCTATCCCTGCAGCAACCTGGCAAACACGTTAGACAATGGCCAATCCGAAGACAATGCAATATCTTAGGTCCCCTTTAAGTGTCTTGCTCAAGGTCACGTTGGTGTATCACAGTGGAAAACGCGGGTCTCTCACACCAAAGGCATGTGTCTTATCCACTGCTCCATCACCCCACCAACACAAACACAAGCTGTTCAGCTCAGTGCACACAAACATGATATTACCAGGTTCCTGGTAAACACCTGGGGAACCATTAACATATGTATGCATTAATCTGACTAATTTACACATGTAATACACACACAGCCACACACACACACACACAGCCAGCCACACACACACACACACACACAATCACACTGACTGTAGAGCTTTCATTATTCATAGCTGGTGCTGGCTGTAGCAGCACTCCCATCTGTGCCCTCCTCTCCCCATCTCTGTCTCAGCCCGTCTCTTCTCTTTTAGCCATTTCTTCGCCTCGTCTTCCTCTCTCACTTTTTTTTTAATCATCACATAAACCTATTCTTCCTCTGTGGTTTTCTTTTAGTCCTAAACTCATCCCCTCCATCCACTTTATAAACAGCTTATTCTGCTCATGGTCATAGGAGGAGGCTCGAATAGATCCCAGCATCAGTCTTCAATTATTCATGTAAACATACCCGTAATTGATGTCATGAATTAGGCGTTTAACATCTTCTGAGCTCAGTTATGTAGTGTTTGTAAACTTGTTCCTCTCTGATGGTTTTTGGTGTTTGTGTGAATCTCCAAAATGACTTACTTGAGAGCAACAATACTGGGACCATCGATCTTGATCCAGGGCCTAGTGTGTGTCTTTATGATGCCAAGTATTATAGTTTAATTAAGTTTATTTGACACTATGACAAGGGCACTTAATGATAACTACAAAAATGGAGGGTGGCTCGATATCGTCCAAGGCTTATTTCCATTGTGAGTCTTGATGTATAGAAAGCAAAGATGCAGGAATTATGAAACATGACATACAAATTTTAACTAGGATGATTAGCTAACACTTTTGCTGCAAGTCATGACGTGACCTTTTTATGATTGTCATGATCACACACTTTTAGCAATGCTGGCGGTGCAAAAGTCTGTCAATCAGTCCAGACTGGAAAATTTTAACAGCTATTGGATGGATTGCCATTAACTTTGGTACACATACTTTATCCATTGTTCCCAGGGAATGAATCCCAATGACCATCCCCTGACTTTACTTCCAGCACCTCCATGAGGTTGACATTTGTGATTTTGAGTCAAATGGCTCAACAACTATTGGATAAATTGTCTTGAACATTGTTACAGACTAGGCTTGGGCGATCTTCTCTATTTTCATATTGTCTGATCATGGCTACTTGAGATCACTGAT